TTGATTTCTTTGTATGTATGGATCACTTGGGTTGTTACAGACAACTGGTGGAAATTTCATGTCATTAGCACCTCTAGTAATATATTTACTGAGAAAAACGGTGACGTGTTCAATACTTATTTTACCTGCTGTATGTTTGACAGATGAAAAAAAATCCTCATAACACTTTTCTTAACATTCTTTCTGAGTCAGAACCAAGAAGAACCAGAGGAAGGTTTTGAGGAATGTTTCAGGGAGGATTCAGGAGTGTAAAGGAGTGAGGCAGCTGCTCCCTCTCCAACATGTGACTCAGCTTGATGATGAGTTGGTGTTTGTCTCTAAGGTCAGGGTGATAATGTGTGTTTCTGTTGCAGCTGGCGGGAGCAGCATTTATTGCTGCTGGTTTCTGGGCCTGGAGCGAGAAGGTGAGAGAACCTGATCCTCAGAACCCACAAAGTCTTCTTTGGTTTTTGACTCCCTCTGATGGTTTCTATGGTTCAAACTAATTTCCAGGGAATCCTGTTGGATCTGACCCAGGTGACCCGGCTGCATGGTTTTGACCCAGTCTGGCTAGTCCTGGTTGTTGGCGGCTTCACCTTTACACTGGGCTTTGCCGGGTGTGTAGGAGCTCTAAGAGAAAACATCTGTCTGCTCAAATTTGTAAGTGTTAACCGTTAAGTTTGTCTCACTCTACAGGTCCTGTTTGTAAATAAGAACTAGTTCACAAATTTTTTCACCATGGAAAACAAAGGTCAGCTAAGTAAAATAAAAAAATGTCAAGTGTTTAAAATCTTTGGATTGTTTGATTAAACGTTTCAAACTATCTCTCAGTTGATTTTAAAGCTTTTATTTAGGGGTGTCCCGATACAGATTTTTCACTTCCGATACGATACCGATATTGCAGCCTTGAGGATTGGCCGATACTGATATTGTCTGATACCGATATCAGCACAAGATATATACTTTTATTACTTATTTTGTAATGTGGAATCTAAGAAAAGTCTTGAACTAGTGATATTCAAACAGAAAAAAATATTTAACAACAGCAGGTATGAGAAAAATTGACCCATTTATTATTAACCAATGGGTTACATCAATTTTAAACTTAACAATAAGAAAATTCTTCATCTGAATAAAATAAAAATAAATAAAATTAGAACACCCTGAAAAATACTCTCAATAAATTAGGGCTGTGTATTGGCAAGAATTTGGCGATACGATACATATCATGACAGAGGGGTCACGATACGATATATCGCGATATATCCC